GATAGATAGATAGATAGATAGATAAGATAGATCATAATAAATGGCAGTGATAATATAAAAATAAAAATGTAAATAGTAATAATAATAATAATAATGATACGCTAATAATGCTAATGCTAATAATAAATAATGACGATAATAACATAACAAAAGTGTTGCTTATTATTTTTTAAACAGCAAAAGTGAAAAACATTTTTGATACCAAACTAAGTTATGCTATAATTCTACATCCCCAATCTGTTTAATGTATTTCTCCTTTTATGTCAAATGTTCAATCTGTCTCTTCTCCAATCTAACTTTTCAACACGTAAGTGTCACAGCATCGTGTCCATCACTTTACCTTCCAGCGTGACTTTTCTTCCTATTATTTTTCCCCGTCTGTCCATTTTCTCTCTATCTGTGTCTGAATCTTATCCTCTCACCGAGAAGGTGTAGCCCCAGGCGATGAATCCACTCTGCGCATTCCCCTCGTGACGGCAGCAGCTAAAGAATCAAAAGCAACCGTCGAAGATATTGAACATTATTTTTTTTTCTTACTGGTGCCTGCCGCGAGCAAATGGCGCTATTTAGAAAATTGTTGCCCAGATATGATTGAACAAGTTTGTTTTATCTGCTTGCATTTTTATGCTGATGGAAACCGTCTTCCTTGTCATTTCTTTCTTGTTTGCTTGTCTTCTGGAATGACTGAGTGCTGCAGTTTTCATGTTTGTCTTTTTAAAAAATTCCTATCATTGACGTTTAACACGTCACACTACACACAAAATAGGTTATTTCGAAGATGGACGCATTGAGTCTTCCAACATAAGCCGGCCGAAGAGAGAAGGAAGGTTCGACAAATTCGAAAGGCACTTGGGATTCGAAAATCGAACTCCTACATATTGGCCGAATTCGGAACTCAAACGTCGCAGCTATGGCCTGGGGCATTCTACGAGAAGTGCCATTGTCTCCGTCTGTCTCACTGTTTCGTTCTAAATTGAATGGGGAGGACATTTTCAGGAGTGATGAATATTTTTAACAATTCACTACATTTTTTCCCCTTCTTAGCTAAAATCCCCGATATGGCAGAGTAGCTTCTGAACTTGATCAGATACTTGCACGTGGGGATTCGATCTTTGAATCCTATGGGTAGAGGGGATGTGTGCGATTTGTGTCGTTTGAAAAAGGGGGGTGGGGTGGAGAGGACACACGTGTGCAAGTCCAGAGTTTGGATATAGGACCAGCCACTCTGTCTATAAAACAACCACCATTGTGTTCAAATGGAAGTATATTATTTAAACAAGAACTAGATCTACAACAAAACGTTCTACTTTTTCTGGTTTTATAAAATAATGGACACATACAAAATTTGTTGTTATTTCTTCTTCGACTGTAACGTCTAGCTGGAGTCAGATGAAACCAAAATGAATTATCCAAAATCTGGCCCTTGTTAAATCCTAGACTTTTCAATGCATACGAAAACGCCACAGCCGTGTTTGCTTTTCTGCGTCAATAAGATGTGTGATTAAATGAAGGAATGTTACACTTTTACAATTAATAAAAGTGAACTGTGCTTTAGCAATGGATTCGCCTCTGTCAATCTTCAAGCCTGGCGACCTAATCGTATTTAAACGCTGTTTGACTGCTATGATTTTAACCATGCCAGTGCCAAAACAAAAAATATTTTTAAAAAACGACGAGATGAACAAAAAATGTGCCCGTCCGCATTACTGAAATCCAAAAAGGGGACACGGCAAAATTTCCCAAAAAATGTATCAAGCTTATCAGGTTACTTGGCCGGCTTCACGTGAATTGAACCATGCTTCCATTGCAGAAAATCAATTAGAAGACGTGGGCATATCTAACATTACGATATTCTATTTCTCGTTAGCAGCTGACAGCTCACAGCTCCCCACCATCTCCCCCTCTTTCGTTTGCTGCTGTCTTGGAATTGGTTGAGAACTAGGTCAGAGCGTAGAAAGCCTTAATGTGATTTAAGGGAGTCGCTGGCTTGATTCTTTCTCGTGTTCTCCCAGGAATGTGCTTTTCTCTCAGCAAGCAGGTGTCCGGCAGTACTACTGAGTGCAACATCTTCAAAATTGTCTAAACTGTCTAAAAGACTTTAACACCAAGTACTAATTGCTCTTACCTTGTCTAGCATCACGTCCTTTCTTTCTTTTTCTTTAATTTCCCATTTCTCATCTCCCTCTATCCTCCTTTCTTTCTCTCTATCTCTCTATCTCTCTCTCTCTCTTTCTCTCTCTCTCTCACACACACACACTCTCTCTCTGTCTCTCTCTCTCTCTCTCTCTCTCTCTCTCTCTCTCTCTCTCTCTCTCTCTCTCTCTCTCTCTCTCTCAAACTTTCTATCTTTTTTTCTCTTGACATTTCTATTATTTCGCATGCACGAGCCTTAAAGGAAAACGGTCACAATCAATACTAGACTAGAAATGAACAAGTTTACATGTATTTTATTTGTTCTTCGGATTCCTAATATCTTCATCTGCTGTTTTGTTGGGGTATTTTTTCTTTTTCGTTTTTCATAATATAAACACAAAAAAACAGGCTAACAAACAGATAGATAGATAAGATAGGTAGATAGATAGATGATAGATAGATAGATAGATAGATAGATAGATAGATAGATAGATAGATAGATAGATAGGTATATGTGAATTGACACAGTGATTATCTGAAAGAACAATGTCTATACTATAGAGAAGCAACCGGAGCTCACAATGGCCCGTTGAAGAAGGCCAAGTACGTGAGAAATTCATTAACTCTTGACCATCGATTAATAATGTCCCTATGGACTGGATATTCCCTATCTACATTTGTGCAACTCCACGTGAACCTTGAATCAGCTGTAGCTTGTTAGACTCGAAACTTTGCTCAAGACGTAGAAAAGGGCCTAGGGAGAACCAGTGTGTGCACTAACTAAAACCCACCTTTCAGTACCGAGTAGCAATAGAAACCGAGCTTTATGGAGAGAAAACATTATAGTATAAGTGTTGTAGAAGAATGAAATCAAATGAATGTTTTAAGTATTTTGTGAATGTCCATTCAGGTTTAAATCGTGTGTTTAAATCATTTTATTTGTAAACGATGAACTCCACTACAAAAGCAATTTAAGACATTAAAATGCCGCGCTCCTTCGGTCCTTCTTGTCGGACCAACCACGCCTTTTTGGGGATGTGTCCATTCTGAAACACCTGGTTCAAACGTCTAACCGATGTATAAATCGTACTTTTTCGACCAAGAAATACCCTGTAGTACTTGTACACGAACACGTGTATACATAATATATTTGTTCTTAAAAGTTGTGACTTTTCCCGTAACGATCTGTTGAGAAACGTGTACCGCGTATACCGCGTGGTTGGATTTTTTTTGCCAATACATCACATCATATTCAATTATTCATGCAAGCAGGTAGAAACTCCCCCAAGAGAGCTGCTCTAGAAACTGTTAATTAAGGAACGTCCTCACCTCATAACCTGTAAAGTCGCATGTTCAAGTCATCGAGTCTGCCGCTCCTGTAAGCGACATGGGTTTTTATAATCTAATCCAGTGCTTGCCTACCCGGGCAATGTCACCCATTACTGGGTGGTTTTGTAATGTTGGTGGGCGGTGGGGATCACGCAGCTAGTGTCAAGTGTTATGTAATGCCCCACTTGGAAATAGATGAAGGTGGGTAGTTCGATAAGGCGTGTCTCATAAAGGAGGCAAACGTGAGCGTTGGCTATTCAAAAGTGGATAAACATTTATCTTTACCTTCATTCAGCACATCGCCTATTTAATGTTGTGGAGAGTATTTTGTATATCGAGTGTATTTGTTTCATTTAGAGAAATAATGCAATACTAAATTCTAGATACAAACAAACTTCACTCAGTGGCAGCCTTTAAGCTATCTACAACGATCAACCCCTATGATTTTTCCTCCTATCTTTATATTTACATTTTCATCTCGCTATCAGCTCCCCTGACTCCACGGCGTCTCCAGCCTCTCACATAAGACCTGACATCAAAAGCCAAAGATCGTCTTGTATCCATTATGCAAGTAGCTATTTGTAGTCCATAGACGGTGTGAAATGCCCTCCAGTCACACGTGCGAGTTCAAAAGCCCATGCCTACAGGTGGACATGGTGACATAAGGTGATATATTGCGTGAGTAGAAATTATTCAGGTCGTGTTTCAAAGGTTTACGACC